ATATACTGATTTTTTATATAATTGTTCTTAAGCAATGAAAATGGCTAATTTTAAACAAAAAAAAAAATCAACGCCAGGTGTTCAGATATCTTGATGACTTGATGTCCTGGATCCGTGTGAGAAAATTATTGGTATTCAGTGGACAGCAGGGCTACTGCCAACAATTACAAAAAGACATCCAGTTACTGTTCATTTTTCTCTTATAAAATCCATAATTTAGTCAGCAATTGCGTCACGGTTTTTGTCTGATGCTCTTTATAGATATAAGCTTCAAATTTATGACTCTTAATTGATAATAAAAAAATTTAATTAATAAATAAAAATAAGCCACGTTCTACTAATAATTCATTCCAAGAAACAGCATAGTTAAAATAACCATCTTTAAACGTAATAATTAATATAATAAATCATGTATATTAATATAGATTTATAATTATACATTTATGTCTATATAGCGGTGTGAATATTTTTACAAGAATCTTATATGATTACTGATTAAAAAAATATTTAGAAATTTTACATATATCAAACTCAGCTCTCATTATTCAAATTGACTAAAATATGCTTGAACCGAAATAGAAAATTTTGCTTTCGAGTTTAGACAAGCTGTTTTAGCGTTGTCTAGATAAGGCCGATATCACAACATCTCATAAAATCATCGATATAAAGAGACAGTTTCTGCAACCAGCCTATTAGCTTGCAAGACATTTATGGATTTTGTTGTCTTCTTAGCACGGCTCTTTACTATAGCACTTGCATTTTTTCTCCATGTTATTATTTTTAGGAGAATCAAGAGAAGAGAGTTGAGTCTTAAACTTCCTCCAGGACCAAGAAAGCTCCCCATAATCGGAAATCTACATCAAGTTGGTGGTTTAACTCATCGCCACTTATGGCATCTGTCACAAAAATATGGCCCTTTGATGCATCTCAAGATTGGCAAAGTGCCAATCCTTGTGGTCTCCTCAGCAGACACGGCAAGAGAAATCCTTAAAACCAATGATTTTCGCTTCTGCACTCGGCCTAAGCTCACCTCCAGCAACAAATTTTCTTATGATTGCAAGGACATCAGCTTTGCTCCCTATGGTGAGTACTGGAGAGAGATGAGAAAGATTTCCATTCTTCAACTCTTTAGCACAAAGAGGGTTAGTACATTCCATTCTTTAAGAGAAGAAGAGGTCGCTATCCTTATTGATTCGATTTCCAAATCCCTATCGAAACCGATTAATCTAACAAAGCTTGTGTCGACTCTCATAAGCAATATAATTTGCCGTGTTGCACTGAAGAAGAAGTATGATCAAGGAGATCTTGAGATGAGACACTTCCACGCACTTGTTCAAGAAACGGAGACGTTGTTCGGCACCTTCTTTATTTCAGACTGCTTCCCATCATTGGGTTGGATTGATAAGCTTACAGGGCTACAACAAAGACTGGAGAGGGCCTTCAACAAGTTTGATTCTTTCTATAGTGAAATAATTGAGGAGCACATTGATCAGAAGAGGGCAAACCTAGTGCAAGAAGACATAGTTGATGTGCTGCTTCATCAACAGAAGAATTCACCTTCTATCACCATTAATAACATTAAGGCTATTCTAATGGTAATTAATCCTACGTATTAGTTTGCATTCTTCATGACATTATTTTTGATTTTTTAATTTAATTATCTTAGGACATTTTCATTGCTGGAATTGGAACATCTTCTGCCACTATAATATGGGCTATGGCGGAGTTGGTGAGGAATTCAAGGATTATGCAAAAAGTACAAGAGGAAGTAAGAAGCTCCACTCATATCTCAGAAAGCAGTCTCCATAATCTTCAATACCTCAACTCGGTGGTAAAAGAAACTTTGAGGATACACTTGCCTGTTCCATTATTGCTTCCTCGAGAGGCAATTAGACATTGCAAGATTAGTGGCTATGATATAGAACAAGATACTCGGGTTTTTATCAATGCTTGGGGCATTGCAAGAGATCCCAAAACATGGGATAATCCCGAGGAGTTCTTACCAGAGAGGTTCATTGATAAATCAATCGATATAATAGGTCATAACTTTGAGCTCATACCATTTGGATCAGGCCGAAGAAGTTGCCCAGGTATTAACTTAGGTATGTCAATGGTAGAACTGGCTCTTGCTAATTTGCTTTATTACTTCGATTGGAAATTGCCTGAAGGAATGAGTAAAGAAGAGATGAATATGGATGAAGTTCCAGGCATTACAGTGCACAAGAGGAGTGCCCTTTGCCTTGTAGCATCTAAATACATATAAATAACTATTTTAAACTGAGAAGTTTCTGATAGCTTTGTAATTTTATGTTCTAAATAATTAAAATGCTTTGCGTTAGTACTTTTTTTCCTCGTGTTGCTGTTTGATGTTGGTTGGATAATCTACCAATAAAGCATGGAGAATGGAACTAATGACAAATATACACAACGCATTAGACTAATTAAAATTGAAAAGTTATAGGATAATTTAGGGTCCGTTTTGGGACCATGGTAGCTTTTTCTAATGGTGGTTGTGAAGTTATGGAGAAAATAAATTTTTTTAGAAGTTTTTGTCGAAAACAACTTTATCCAAAAATTTTTTGTAAACAATTAAAAAGCATTGTTACTTTCTAAGAAGCAAAGCAATAAGAATGCCAGTCCAAATTAAGCTCTAGTGAAACATTATATATATATATAGAGACTAAAAAATTAAAATGAATTTCTCATATTAATTACATAAACTATATATTTTTAAACATAACATTTAATTAACTTTTAAAACATAAATAATATTTATTTTTTAGTAATAATATTAAAATTTATTTATTTAGTTATTTATTATATAATATAAAAACTAAACTTTTATCTATTTTTTAATTATAAATAATGTTATATGAATTTCTAAATATAATTTTATAATGTAAATTTTAAAAATAAATTATAGTTGAAAATCATTTTTCTTTTTTTTTGGTTAAAACCCACCAGCGGGCCTACGCATTAATATAAGGAAAAAATTACAGAGTCCTTAAAGGGACCTCCAGCTCCCTATTGCTCTTATGAGCTACAAACAAAAAGAAAAAGAAACCTAAGAGCCGGAGTTCCCTACTAGCCAAAATTACACAATAAACTAATAACATTCTAAGAAACAAAAAACAAAGGGAAATGAAAAGCACAATCAGCATATCCCAACAACCAGAACGAGTATCCTGCATAAAACGAGCGCGGAGCTCCAAAAACCTGCGAAAGAGGCCTGCAAAGATACTAAGAAAGAAATGAAGCAAACAGGGAAAACTAATAAACAAAATTAAATAAGGATAGGAAAGCCAACTCCCAGGAAAACCAATGTCCCAAGAGAAAAACAGCTCCGAGAAACGCAGCACCAGTACAAACACACCCGGACCACAATCACCAGCACCATAGTAGCTGAAACAACACCCAGAAACTAACCAAAGGCCAGTCAGGGAGACCTTTGCTAAAAGGAAAATGAAAGGAGCAACAGCCAACCAGCCACCAGAACCCATGCAAGAGAGACCAGGAAGTAAACACCAGCCAGAAACAACAACCAAGAAACCCCAACAAACCCCACCCAGGAACAACCAAAACCACCAGAACAACGAAAACCAAAACCAGCAGAACAACACGCCCAGAACAGAGCACCAAACCCGAGAACAGGAACTTACCGCACATTAACATAAGGCACACTACTCTTATCCAAATTAATCAAACCTTTAATCTGAACAGTGAGATTATTAAAAGATAACTCAGTAATATCATGGAACATTCCGCCAAACAACGCTAACATCCTAGCAGCAGAATTGACAACAGGGCAAACATTATTAAAATGACAATTCATAGATTCCAGAAAAAATTGAATGTTCCTATGGATATAGAAGTGAGAGTAACCACACGTACCACCTTCCCCATCAACTAAGGCTTTAATGTCCTCATTAATGTTCCCCTCAATCACAATATTCTGAATATCTAAACCAGCACAGATATTAAGCTCGTGGCAGACATCCAACAACATACCAGTACGCTTGTCAGCAGCCACAATTTTACCAGCAAAACCCAAAATAAAATCCCCGGCACAGTTTTAATCAAGCCACCAATACACCAACTACTCCCAATCAGAGAAATATCAAAGTTCAGTTTAAAACAGTCAAGAAGAGGTTTCAGCTAAACAACAGAGTTCATCCCATGACAAGTAATAGAAGAATCAGAATGAATCCCAAAAGCCTCTAAAGTAAACAACACCTTGTAAAAACTTTTAAAAGAAATAAGCTTAGCAGTAAAAAGAGAATTAACTTTCTCCTTAATTCTAGCAATAATGCATTGGTGATTCATCATGTTACCATTAAAACGAGAATCATTTCTAGCCAACCACAGAAACCAAAAAATCAGAAGAGGGATAACATTTCTAATATGACCTTTAATACCCACCATCCAACCTTCCAACAATTGCTGAACCGAACAATTAGGATCCCAGCAATTAACCCGAAAAAGATCCTCAAAGTAATTCCACACCTTGGTAGCAATAGGGGAAGACACAAAATAATGCTGTAAACTTTCCACGTTAGGGCAACATTGACATTTCGAAGTAATAAACAAACCTCTAATCCTAAGAATCTCATCAGTAGGAATAAACTTCTTCATGATTCTCCAATTAAAAATAGAAACCGTAATAGGAATGCTCTTATGCCACATCATTTTAAACGGTTTAATAGGATCTTTTTTATTTCTAAAAACATGCCACACATCTTTAGTCCGGAAGCTACCATCTTTAGTGAAAGTACAAAGTAAAACATCTTTAGCCGAACAGTTAAAACGAAGATTAGAAATCAAATTGCATATAGAAAGAGGTAGCACTGAAGATAACTTCTCCATGTCCCAACCATTATCAGCAAAAAAGAAATTAACCTTAATCATACTCGTAGAAACAATATTCAAAAGAGAATCAATGGATAACCCATTAATCCAACGATCTTGCCAAAAATAAATATTACCTTCCCCAAGTCCCCAAGCTAAACAGGGTTCAACTTTCCATTAATCTGAACCATACGTTGCCAAGCTTTAGAATGACCTTTAGAAGAAATGCAAAGGGACGGATGAAGAGCCCCACAATACTTCTCCTGCATAAACTTAGCCCACAAATTAGCATTAGCCCTGAAATTATACCACAGTTTAAAAGAAAAAGCATGAGCCATATCAGTCATAGATTTGCAACCAAGATCACCTTCCGGTTTAGTCCCACAACACTTATCCCACTAAGACCAATGTATTTTAGAATTGGTAGAAGATCCCCTCCAAAAAAATTTGTTGAGAATTCTATCAATCCTCAAACACACATTCTTAGGAGGCAAAAGAACTTGAAAAGAATACACAGGAATTAAAGCAAGAACACTTTTAATAAGAACTAGCCTACCACCAAAACTCAAAAAATTAGAATCCCAAGAAGACAAACGATTATGCACTTTGGAAATTAATTCTTCAAAAAGAAAAGTTTTCTTTCTACCTTTGAACAACGGAATACCTAAATACTTTAATGGCAAGACAACTTGAGAGAAACCTGAGAGGTTCTTAATATCCATCACTCTATTATGATTAACATTCTTAGAAATCACAAACCCACTTTTGGTTTTATTAAATATGAGACCACTCACTGCTTCAAATTGCTCAAAAAATCTCAAAACTTTAGAAACCTTATTTTTAGAAGCATTCATGAAAATAATGAAATCGTCAGCAAAACATAAATGAGAGATATTGATACCACCCAAAGTTCTAAAATACATACTAGGAGACTTACTGAAAAAATCAGATATCCCCCTAGATAGATAATCCACAGCAAGAATAAAAATAGCCGGAGAAATAGGATCCCCTTTCCGCAGACCATGGGAAGATTTAAAAAACCCATGACACTTGCCATTCAAAATAATGGAGAAGAAGGGACTTTCAATGCAAAGAGTAATAAGAGAGATAAACTTGTCATCAAAGCCAAAAAATTTCAACATTTTAAAAATAAAGCACCAATTAATGTTATCATATGCTTTAGCAATATCAAGTTTCAAGATCATATTTCCCCCTCTAGTCTTAATATCCAAGTCTTGGCAAAATTCTTGCGCAATTAAAATATTGTCCATAATCGCACGACTTTTAACAAACCCCATTTGATTGGGAGAAATAAGTTTAGGAAGAAGGACAGAGAGACGGTTAACCAAAATCTTTGAAATTAATTTGTAAAAAACCATACACAAACTAATGGGCCTAAAGTCATTCCAAATGTTAACATTATTACTCTTAGGAATCAAAACAATAGAGGTAGAAGTGAAAAACTTGGGAAACTGATTCCCATTAAAAAAATCCAGAACAACATCATAAACATCCTCAGAAATAACATGCCACAAGTGTTGAAAAAACTTAACCATAAAGCCATCCGGCCCAGCCACAGAGTCAGCATTCATATCAAATAAAGTATTTTTCACCTCCTCCAAAGGAGGAGCAAAACAAAGACTACTATTCTCCTCCTGACTCACAATACAGGGGATAAAAGAATGATCAACAATAGGGGTAGGACAGAAATTATTATTGAGATGATTTTGAAAAAAATTAACAGCAAGGTTAGCAATCTCATCCCCATTATCAGTAAAAGTACCATTACCACGATCAATTTTATGAATACCATTAATAGCACACTTCTTGCTAACCAAAGCATGAAAATAACTAGTATTATTATCCCCTTCTGCCAGGAATTTAATAGCAGCCTTCTGCTTCCAATAAGTCTCTTCCTGACATTGAAGGTTTGTGAGGACCAATTTGGCCTCCTTAAGAACTGCAAAATTAACATCTGTGGGGTCATTTTGGCAACAGGCCTCAAGAGCATTAATCTTCTCCTCCACCTCCTTGATATTAGAAAAAATATTTTTAAACACATTCTTGTTCCACCAGTTCAAAACCATCTTGAGCCTTTTAAGCTTAGCCTAAATACGATGCATGCCAGAAATAGAATCATCCGGGAAAACATGCGCAGACCAGTTATTGTGAACTACATTAATAAACGAATCATGAGCTAACCACATGTTCTGGAATCTAAAATGAGAATTAGAACTAGCAGAATTAAAATTAACATTAATAAGCAAGGGGGAATGGTCAGACAGAGTACGACTTAAATGCACAACCTTAGTAGCATTGAAAACATTAACCCAATCGTTATTGAAAAGAACTCTATCTAACCGTTGCCAAAGATTGCCCCGGTTCCAAGTAAAATTATTACCAGAAAAACCTATATCAATAAGATTACAATTCATGATCATATTGTTGAAATCTTCCATAGAACAAAAATTAGGATGCAAGCCCCCAACACGCTCAGAGGGGTTAACAATAGTATTAAAATCCCCTCCAACCAACCAAGGTAAAGTACAGATACTGTGAAAATTAACAAGTTGATCCCACAAAATTTTTCTCAAAGAACAAGAAGTAGCAGCATATACAAAAGAAGCAACACATTGCAAATTGGAAGATTCAATATTACAATGAAGCACTTGGGAAAAGTCCCCAATAAAATCAATCCTTACAAATTCTTTCCAAAAAACCCAGATTTTATTAGAAACATTAGCAAAAGCATGCTTAAAGCCCAAAATTTTATTGGTATTGAACAGTTTATCCATAGAAATGAGAGGTTCAAGCAAGACAAGTACTGAAATATTATGAATACAACATAAATTTTTAACCCTAAGCTTGGAGGAAGGACACCCAATCCCCTGCACATTCCAGATGATCGTATTAAACATATGAAAACAAAATTAAAGAGCAGTATATGAGCGTGTAGCCCTAGGAGATTGCAAAATAATGTTTCTAGGTTTTCTACCTCTCTTACCCCTACCTTTGGAAAAACTCATATCATTATCCTCTCTAGCATAACATTTAGCATTAATTTCAATTTTCGTATCCGTAAAAACATCACAGTTATAATGATCAGTTAAAAGAAAACCCTTGTTCATCTCACCAGTTGAAGTATCCAAACCAGAATGATCTCCTTGTAAAAAGAGGACCCATCTTCCACCGTCGACGTATTACGGAGCTTTTGACCTGTAATAGGCAAGTTACCATGAGAATGAACATTAATATTATGAGGAACCTCATCAAGGACTTTGAAGAAACAACTTCCCCATTGTTAATAGCGTCGGTATTACAAGTCTCCAAAGACTTTGAAGAAATAACTTCCCCATCATCAAGGACAACGACCAAATCATTAAAACTATTCACAATCTCAGCATTCACCCATTTTTCTTGATCTAAGATAATATTAGCATCATGTAAAGCCATATTAGAATGAGTTTGAGCCATAGAATCTTGTAAAACTTTATCATTAAGATCAATATTAGGAATATAGAAACCGGTTTGGAAGCATTAGATAAAGAAGAAATAAAATTAACATTGACTTCCACCTTATTACCACTGTTAGCAGCACCCAAATCCAGGTCTGCGTTTTCCAAATTGATCTCAACCGAAGGACAAGGAACAACAGCAACCTTACTAACCATTTTACCATTTTAATTCTGCCCACTTTTCTCCTTACGCAAATTAGGATGTAAACGAAAACACTCCTTTATCGCATGACCATGCATCTTGTAATGAGAATAAAATATTGATAAGTTCTCAATTTCCACCTTTTGAAAGTACCCATTCATTTCAGAGCCTAACCAAATTTCTTGCGGATGTTTTTTCGTAACATCCAATTCAACAAGCACTCTAGCCACAGAAGGTCTCGACAGAGAAGCCGTGGCTTGGTCTGTCTGAAGTGGTCTACCAAAAATAGAAGCAAGACCAAAAAGAATGTGCGAGTTAAAGAAATGCAAACGAAGGTTCGGAAAGTCTATCCACACCGGGGCAATGGGAGACTCCTCCCTCACATCAAAATCTGGTGACCACTTAAGCAACCTCATTTGACAACCCTGGATGTAGTAAGAACGGCAAGAGAAAATACGGCTATAGTCCAAGTCATTAGATAATTGAATAGCTATGTGTTTAGAATCTAACAAACCAACATTAAAGGATCCCGAAAGTTTCAAACCAAAAAAGAATTTGCGGATGACATCCAGGTTAGGCCTACGTAACATGAACTTACCAACCAGCGTAAAACAGAAAGGAACAGCCAGCTGCTGAACAGCCACTTCCTCAAAAAGCAAAGCAGGACAACCTTTAAAAGAAGAGTGAACAAAATGAACTTTCGAAGAAGAAGAAGATCCAGCCGAAACGACATCCTTAAACGATCTAGTTTTACTAGTAAGGACAGGAGGAACAATCGGGTTTGACGACGTCGGAGACGTCATCGCCCCCCCACCGGACAAGCGGTCAAAAATCAAACGAAGCCACCAAAAGGTCGAAACCCAAAAAAATAGGGGAAAAAAGACAGAGGAAGACCCGAGGAAGACAAACCAGAGAAAAGAACGAGGTTACCAGCGATTTGAAGAAGCACCGAAGCCAGGAAAAGAGATCAGAAGAAAATCGGAACGCCTCAGAGAGCACAGCAGCGGAATCGCCTCGAAATTGCCAGACGAGGCGGCTAGGGTTTCCTGAGCTTTGTTATCTAAATATATAATATAAATCATCAACTATTTATATTAAATTTATATATGAACTAAATTTTTATTAAATGTGAATTAAAATCAATGATTGGGATATTTACATTTAAAATTAGTAATTTATTTATATTTAAATATATAACATAAATTAATACTTATTTATATTTAAATTTAAATTATAAAATATATTATTTATGTATAAATTTATTTGTTTATTAAACTCAAAATTATCTTATTTCATAATTATTATATCATTATTTAATCATTTACCATTGAAACTCTTTCTTTTATGGTTCTATTTCCAATCCGATATATATATATATATATATATATATATGAGTGTGTGTGTGTGTGGTTTTTGTATTTATCTTTAATAAGACTTGTTCTATTTACTTCATGCAAAAAAGAAAGGAGCATTGTTATCGTTTTCTTTGAGTGATAGATGATGATAAATGAGGCTCTATTAAGACCATTAATTGTCTGAAAACAAGCAGAAAAATAAACAACAAAAGTTCAAAAACAATTAAAAAAAAAAAGCTTAAGACTTTATCTTATTATTTTTCTTTGTTAACTCAAAAGAAGGAAATCTCCAATTGAACTCTATTGGGATGTTTTTAACAAAAGAAAAAATATAATAATAATTAATAGAAAAATGCATTTTTATAATAACCAAGGAACAAGTTCTTAATGTCCCGTTTAGTCAGAGAAAGTCCCATTTTGAAATTTTTTTTTTTGAATTCTGCTCTTCCAGCGGGATGTTCAGGTATGATGACAGATGGTCACCGCACATCTGTGGCATCGACACCGATGGTTCATCCCCATGGATTTAACATTTCTCAAAGTGAAGTAAATCGTATACGCTCTAATGTTGAAAAGTTGGATTCAAAATATCATCGAAAGAAGGCCCTTTGGTGATTAAAGAAAATTTGGCTAATGTGGTAAAGAAAAATCCTCTTGTGGATGGAAAGGGAAATATGTTGTTCATGATTTGGTTTTTAAAACTCCTAATCCGTCTGAGTCGCCGTCAAAATCTCTTACGAGGTCCAATGATCATGAGGCCTCTTCTTCAGGCATGAAGATTTTTGTGAATAGATTTGGCAATTTTAACTCTAATACTGAGGTTATTTTGGAGCTTGGACAGAATACGATATCTTCGGCAATGGATTATGCGGCTATGAGTATTCATAATAACAGGAATGATTTTTATGATGGTTTGAATGTGGTAAGAGAATATGTTGCTGATAAAAAGATGAATTATGGTGATGTGAAACACTGTTCAAAACGTCCTTACATAAAGATTATTTTTAAAGAGGGGGATTCATTGCTAACAGATGATGGTGCTATTGTTAAGTTACATACTCCTAATCAAATGGCTAATGCTAACAAGTTACAATTTGTTTTTGTAGCTAAGGTGTTTGGTAAAGAAATTCCTATTCATATTATTGCAGCTAAATTGAGACGTCAATGGGCTCAGATTGGTTAATTTCATCTTACTATTCTTGGGATAGGATGGGTTTTGTGTTCGTTCCAATCAGCTGAAGCTATGGAATCAGTTCTTACAGAAGGTCCATTGTATGTGAATGGGCATATTATTGGACTTAATAAATGTTCACCTAGTTTTTCTCTTTCTTCCAAGAAGGGCAATCATCTACGGTGTGGATTAGAATGCCTCACTTATCCTTGTAATGTTGGGATGAGGTAAATGTGACAAGAATCGCTTCTAAAGTGTGAAAATCATTAATGTTAGATGGGAATACGTTTCAATGGGAGGAGAGAATTTTCAAGAGTATGTATTCGGGTTGGGTTGGATAACTAACTTCCTTTAGGAGTTTGGGTTGATGGATTGTCTAGGCATTTTCCAAAGAATTGAGTATGAGAAGATCTCAATGTTTTGCTATGACTGTGGAAGGATTGACCTCGTAAGAAATGATTGCTTACATTGAACTTTTCCTATCAAGGATTCTGTGAATGCAGCTAATAAATCTGAGAAAAGTAGGTCTGAAAATGCTCTTCAGAATGATTACCCGATTCGTCTAAATTCTATGTCTTTATCTCATATTCCTTTTGTGGTTATCAAACACTTACCTAGAGTTTCTTCGGATCATTATCCTCTTATGATTAATTTGTTCAATTTAGTAATCTATAATCAGAAATCTATCAGATTAGAGAATGTATGATGTTCTTATGAAGCTTCTAAAGGTGTGGTTTTGAATTCTTGGAGGAAAAAAGACTTTGGAAATGCTCTCATATTCTACAAAGGAAAGTGAGTAGGTCTCTTAAAAATTTATTCTTTTAGAGCAAGAACAAATTGAAAGAGTTTAATACATTAAAGTGTGAGTTGCAAAATGAAATTAGTGCTTCACAAGAAGAGGAAAGCTTACGTGGTTTGAGTTTGGAAAAGCTGCTTGTGCTAAACAGGAAAATACATGAGTTGAATTCCACTCATGCTAGACATGCTACATGGTGGAGACAACGCTCTAAATCCCAATGGCTAGAAGAAGGTGATCATAACTCACAATTTTTTCATGCATTTTCTACTGTTAGAAGGAATGTTAATGTGATCAATCAAATTACTATTTCTAATGATAAAATTTAGACAGACATGGAGAAAATTCATGCAGCTTTTGTAAAAAATTTTTTAGATAAATGGAAAAAGAGACATTGTTCTCTTAGCAATTAGCCATTATTTAAAGAAGAACATCAACTTAATAAAGATTAGCAGCAATAATAATAATAATAATTAGTAGCAGATGTTAGTTTTAGATTTTTAGAAATAAGAACTTTTTTCTTCTATGATGAAGATGGGCAATAATAAATCTCCAGGTAATGATAGAGTTAATGATTACTTCTTTAAATTTTTTTGGAGTATTGTTAATATTGAACTGTGGAATGGTATTGAGAATTTTTTATCTCCTACATTATGCCTGATTGCTAGAAAGAAGCTTTGGTGGTGTTGATTCCTAAAGTTCCTAATGCTTCTGATGTGACTATGTTTAGACTCATAAGCTTATGTCAAACAATCTATAAAATGGTGGCACGTATGATTTTGAATAGAGTGAAGAAGTGGCTTCCTAGGATTATCTCTGAACAACAAGGAGTGTTTGTTCTAGGAAGATCTATTTCTAATAATTGTCTTTTGGCTCAAGAGGTTGTTAATAAATTCAAAATTTTCAAAGCTTATCTAGGGAATATGTTACTTAAATTAGATATTGAACATGCATATGATAGTATGTATTGGGAAACATCAAAATATATTTTATTTCTTATGGGATTTTTGGAAAAGATGATTAACTTAATTATCCAATGTATAAGTTTTCCTAAATTCTCTATTGTTATCAATGGAAGAAGAGTAATTGGATAAATGCTGAATGTGGGTTTAGACAAGGATGACCATTATCTCCTTGTCTCTTCATTCTTTGTTTTGAGCTGCTATCAAAAGTTATACATGATAGAGGCGATAATCTTGGGATTTGAATTGCTCAAAATACTGCAAAAGTTTCTCATATGTTGTATGCTGATGATGTTTTATTAGTAGCTGAAGCTTCTCAAAAAAATGCAAAGCTCATTATTAAACTCTTGACAGATTATTGTAATTGGACATGCCAGAATATCAATGTTAAAAAATCTATGGTGTTATATGGTAAGTCTGTTTTGAGAAGAAGGAAAAGAAAGTTAAACAAAATTCTTTCCTACCGTCAAGTTACTGAAATCACTTACCTTGGTGTAAAGATAGCCCCAAAGAGGTTCAAAGAAGTAGATTTTCAAAATGTACTGAAAAAGGAAATGGAGAAGCTTAACATGTGGGGATCTCATTCATTATCGTTGGCTGGAAAAATTTTTCTGATAAAAACTATATATTTTTTTATTTCTTCTTTCATTATCACCCACTCTTTGGTGCCAGCGAGTATTTTTTACGATACTGATGGGTTTTGTTGGAATTTCTAGTGGCATAAGGAACA